TACTCATACAAGATCACAGGAATGTCTGTACAAGAGGGATGCCAATCAAACATCCTTTCTGAGAGTGGAAATGGAGAAAACGTGTGTCCACCATCAAGACGATGATGCGGTAAATCACGGCGAGCTGTGGGCTCTGAGGGATCCGGCGTTTCGGCGTGGTCCAGGGCCTTGTACACAGCACTCTCTCACCAAAGATGTCCTTGCACAAGAGACCAAACCTGCACATCAGGAGACCCCTCCACTCTATCTGAAAGGACCGGATGAGTCTGGACTGGAAGGACGTCTATGATATACACCTGAGTGAATAAAGTGAGCTGCAGAAAACATAGAGTAAGGCCTTATTTTTCAATAAAGCATATATACACACACACATAGATTTCTCATATACGTGTATGTATGCACGTATGTATGTATGTGTATATATGTCATAGGCATAAAGGTCATGAAATGTATACACCACATTGTCAACATCTTTTATACTCAGGAAATAAGGGGAAGGCATGTAGGGGCCTTTCGGTATCACCACAGTTCTCTTTTCAGTATTTCATTTAAGTATACTTGGAATTTAAAAGTTCATTTAAGTCCAAAGTAAAATGGACAAAGCCTCCACAAGACAGAATGCTATACTGGTCATTAAAAATCATGCCAGGGGAGATAGAATATTGTAGAAAAACATGTAAAGCCGAATGGAAAATGGAGGTCTCCACACAATAAACAGGCACAGAGTACTCGCTGGTTTTTATGACAGAGGTGATACACATTGATGAAAAGAACAGAAAACAGATGTTAAAGTGTTAATTATTATCTCTGAGTAGTGGGACCAGGATAGCCTCTTTTGCCCCTTTTTTCAGACTTATTATATTAAACACACATTATTTTTCATCTGAAAGAAGCATTTTTAGATGTCTAGTACCACACATTGGAGAAAATACACGAGTACTGACAGAAACAAGAAACTAGGAGACACGGTAGCAGCACCACACAATGTAGAACGGGCGATCCTGAATAAGGACGCGCAGTTACATAAGGACCCACAAAGTGAGAGCACCTGCTGTCGCAGGGCGTGGCCCCCTTCAATTTGTCAGCGGTGTCTTCAGGGCTGAGGCAGGTCTGAGCACAGCCAGTGTCAGTGCTGGTGTCTGGATGGATGCCACAGGAGGTGAGGGCGCCTGCAAGCCGAGAGGAAGAACAGAAATCATCCTCTACTTTTTCTGTCTTGTTTCTTTTTACTTTAAAAGAGAGGCATAAATAAGTAAACTGTGTATCTTCCCTACTGAAATTTCAGTAATGAAACCGTTTTTAAAGCCTTCAAAGCTTATATTCTGCCTATAACTGTCTTTTCAACAAAGATCATATTTATTAAATGTTAATTAACTCAGTTAATTAACTCCCTGTTGAAACATTGTATTAAAGAACATGAAATGCACTACGTAAAAGCACCACGCCTGTAGTGACTACCTTAGCTGTCTTGACGGCAGTGCAGTCAGCCCCCACCATCCGGTGGCCCTGAGTTCCTGATGCTGGTAAGAGAGCACGCTGCCGCCTCATATGGAGAGAAACTGTGAAAGCATTTTCTGAAATCCACAGCAATGACAAAACATAACTGACAAATCCCAGTCTACTTTGAGGCTGTCATTTTCTTTTTCTGGCCAACACCCGTCAATGAGCAGAACCACCCCATTCCCGAGCCATGGGACTCACGTGGGAAGCAGTTTTGGAGAAATTTCCAGGTATAGAATGTAACCAACTATACATAGAACTCTGACAAAAGAAAAGATGAAATATTCTGATTTTGGAAGACACTCAAAATATTCTCCTAAGCCTTAGTAGCTGGAAAGGCTGGGCTTCTCCTAAGCCACTTATTTATTTCACAGCCAGTGAGCATCTCCCACAAACCCTGCTTCCCTGTGTCTGCTGGGAGCCTCAGGCACACTCTTATTGTTGATCTTATAAGTCACAGGGCAGAGGCATGTGCCTCAAGCCTGCAACCCTCACACAGGCTCACCTTCTAGCCTCACTGTCTGAACTTGGCCCCATTTTCTCACCTGTTTATTTGGTATCTGTTCTTCTATAAGCTGCCTGAAATGCTTCTTGGAACACGTCAGAAGAATGAATGGGTAGAGAAATGCACAAATGGACAGGTAAGAGATGGGCAGACAGACTGAGAGACTCCAAGAAAAGGGGAACAAAGAAAATTTCCTATGCAAAACCCTCTTCTAGTCAGGGAAGGAAACCACAACGGAGAAGTGTGAAGAGGCAGGTAGCTGAGGACTGTTTCCTGGATTCCATGAAAAGTCACACCAAGAGATGAGAGGGTAGAACTATAAATAATAAAAGAAAAAATGCATGCATGCTTGAAAAATATATCTGCAATATGTACTTTCTAAAGAATAGATTCAAATCAGCAGGGCCCAATAACACAATTCTTGGGTATTTACAGAAGTGAGAATCCCATCTCCAAACCACAAGACATCCCTTCGGAGCACTGAGAGTCTAAACAGGGCGGTCATAAAGCCGTCACGCAAAAGCTATGCGATCCTGCACTTACGAGGAACGAGCAGCTGTGCTCGGGCTGCCCACGCACGTCATTTACACCCCACAGCACCTCTACGGGGGGGGGGGGACGCCTAGCGAGCTCCGTCTCTGCAGGACAGAAATCACGTCCGGGAGAGGCTAAGCCGACCTACCAATTCTCCATCTCACAGGACTGGTCTTTCCAGAGCAGGACACGAACTCGGACCCATGTTTGTAACCACAGTACTACCGTAATTTATGTGCTTTTTGTGTGTAAATACATTTGTTT